AGAGAAGATATATTTTCTCTTTTTGTTAAAAATGTTCTTCCATTAATATCCTCCTATTAATATCACTATTATTTTAATAATGAAAATAATAATTCAAAAATGGATATAATAGATAAAATTCACTTTTTCAAATATGAATTTAATTTAATAAGTTGCGCAAACTTTTTTGTGCAAAATTTTTATTATTTGAAAAATTATGGTTACAAACAAGTATATTTTATTAATTAATTTTGAATTAATTTTATTTTTGGTCTCTTTTAAGAAACCACTTGCAGGAATTACTGGATGCTCCACTATCTTATGTATATTATAATTAGTTTATTTTAGATAAGAGTGTATATATAATAAAATACATGTGCGTAAATTGTGACATATTTGAAAAACTATTTTTTAATATTATTGTTAATAATAAATTAGGAATGCATGATATAATATAAAATGTGTGATTAATTAAAAAATTCGAGACAAATCGAATGGGTACTCTGATATCAGTAAGATATCTGCAAATTATTGTTACGTGCTAAGTCTTAACTGTTAAATGTAACAGAAAAATTAATTTCTTGATAATCTTTTATTTGATGTTGCTAAATATTCAAATTGAATTTTTTTTTAATCTTGCTGTTATCAGATTTGATTTGTCTCGAATTTTGAGCACATTTGGTACCCTAAAATTAATATTATTCACACATTTAATCAAGCAACGATAAAAGCGCATGTATTTTATTTTACCTTTAAATATATTTGATTGTAACATGTATATAAAAACTATTATATCCAGTCATTTTTTAGTAAAAAGAAAAGATTTCTTAAAATGGAAGAAGATGTTATTTTACGCGAATTTTAATATTATATATTGAAAATGATAAGAAGGGTAACAGTCGTTAATCCGCTGCGAAATCGTTGTTATCGGGAGCAATCAGGAAGATCGGGGATTCGTTCCTTCTTGTAGAGAAGATTCTGATGTTTAATGAATCACTTAACTATCCGTTGTGGATCGATTTCGCGAGATCCGAAATAGAAGAAATAAGACAAATTGAAGTTGCTTCCCACTTTTAGGATCGTTCTTCTCTTTGTCAGATATTAACCAGCGTGTCACTCGGCAGAGGGATTTTGATCTGGTCTAATCGTTAGGCCAGTTATTCTTTATTGAGCGTGGTGATAACGCGATTATTTTAAGAATTATTAGAGTTTAGCCTGTTTGCAATTGTTCGCGGAACAAGATATATATTTTACTTTTGATCGCGAAATTTACATGAAATTATATATTTGAAAAGAAATCGGCTATTAGATTCTGCATCCGCGTTTGATTCCTTACGTATATTATAATATTGTGCAAATTATATGAAATGCGCCTCTAATGTTGCAATATTTTTATTGTCGCACAAAATGATAATAATTATATTGCGCACGTTGTTATTCCGATTATTATAGAAATTATGTGTATTGTGGTTAAATATTATTATTATTATTTATTAATTTATTTATCATATATATTCGCGAAATTTAAACCGCGAAATTTAATTTTTTCTCTGATTTAATTGTTGGGTAACATCAAAGTTTTACTTATCTTTCCGCGTCATCAAACATTTCTTTTAGAAAATCTTATAAAATGAATTAAAATTTCGCATTAAAATTACTTTTTCTTAATTGAGAGGAATACAAGTGATAAATTTATTAATGATTTTTTTAGTCGCGATAGATTATCAATTACGCTAATCTAAAAATTTTCTAAAAATTTCTAATCAATTTTACGTTGTACGTATTGCAGATATTTTCGTGTAATATAGTAAAGTAATCTACGTATATATTCTACATAACAATTTTTTATGTATTATTTTATGTATTATATATAATATATATTTTATTGTTATGTATTACACTATATATTTTCAACGAAAAATTTTATGTATTATCTTATAGTACAATTATAATACAATTTATAAATTGTACTATAATTATAATATATATTTTGTAATATATTTTTATGTGACTGCAAGCTATGTAATTATGCATTATAATATTTTATAATTATATAATATATGTATATTTTATACATTCTTTGTATTATATTTTCTATTTGGAAAATTTGAAAAACCTACATTATATTAAAAGAAAATAAAATAAAAAAATTGTACCTCTTCGATGGTATCTCCACCTTAACGAAGGCATTTGCCGGGTGAGGAGGTTTGAGTACTCTAATGATCCGGAGAGCTATGCCGGCGGTAACATAGGCCGGTATTCATACAATTTGTTTTTATATTTAATCATCTTAAATATAATCTTAGATCGCATCTTAAAATTCTGTTCAGTCTCAATGAAATAATAAACATTTTCTAAATTTTACTTAAAACGATTTTAAATATAAGACTGTGTAAACACCGGCCTTAATTACTGATAGGGTCACCCATGCCGGACAGGTCAAAGAGAAAGAGTCAGACTAAGAGAGATATCGTAATTATAATTATTATATTAATAATTATTAATTAATTACATATACTAATATATATATATATATATATATATATATATATATTAATATATATTATATATTAATTTATATTATACATTATTAATATAATAATTATATTATATTATAATATATTATAATACTTAGTTAATAATTATTATATATTTTGAATAAGATGGAAGAGAGTAAAAGAATGATAAAACGATAAGAAGAAAGAAGCACGAGTCTTGGGAATGCGACAGATCACAACATTGCAAAGATTTGAAGAAGAAGATGCATCGGATAAATATGTGTAATAATTAGGAATAGCTTGCAATTAAGTCAATAATAGTAATACTTTATAATTATGTTACATTTTATAATTTAGCACATTGTATTATATATATATATATATATATATATATATATATATATATATAAAGCATCAAGCATTAAGTATTTTGCTGTTATGAAAATAGAACAATATAAAAAATTTGCTACATAAAGTGTAACATTCGAAAACATTCACTGACGAGATACTATTAAAGACCGATGATTTTACAAGATTTATCGTGACACAAAACATTTATGTATTATATATATATATATATATATATATATATATATATGTAGAGAGAGAGAGAGAGAGAGAGAGAGAGAGAGAGAGAGAGAGAGAGAGAGAGAGAGAGGATCACAAAATTCATTTATATTAAAAATTTATTAAGCGTCTTGTGCTATACAGCGCTGGTACTACTGGTATTTCGTATACATACAACGGAATAAAACCAGAAACTCCATGATACATCAATCTTTTAATAAATATAACCATATAATTAAAAAATCTATATAATTTAAAATATTTGTATATATACATTAATATATTATATTCCATGTACATATATATATATATATATATATATATATATACATACAGGATGTCCTTTTCGTTTGGTATATATAAATATTTAATTTACTATTCGACTGATTGCATTCCGACTCGCTTTTTTATTCGATATATATAAATATTTAATTAATTAATCGAACGATTGCATTCCGATTCATCTTTTCGTTCAATATATATAAGTATTTAATCAATTAATCGAACGATTACATTCTGGTTCGCTTTTTCCTTCGGTATATATAAATATTTAACGAATTAATCGAACGATTGCATTTGAATCGGAATGCATTCGTTCGATTAATTCGTTAAATATTTATATATATAAATATAAATATTTATATATATAATTATATATATAATATTTTATGTAATTATATATAATATTATAATATATTATATATAATATTATAATAATTATATATATAATATTAATATTTATATATATATTTATATATATAAATATTTAACGAATTAATCGAACGAATACATTCATCTTTTCGTTTGGTATAAATAAATATTTAATTCACTATTCGACTGATTGCGTTCCAACTCGCTTTTTTATTCGATATATATAAATATTACACTTAAGTGTGAGTCCAAGAAGCAGATTTCGGATATTCACTGTCAGCCGCTCCTCGGGCGATCGGGACGAGATTTAAACGGTAGTGCCGCGAAATGGTGTAGAATTTTATGCAAAAAGAACGAAATCGCTATCGCATCCGGAAGTCGAGATATAAATTGGCCGTTTTTCGTCTGCGTGCGGACGGTCGAAATCATGCACGACGCCGCGCATGTTGCCTGCCTCTCTCGCGCGATATTCACTGTAACGCGGCGAGTAAAATGGCAAGCCGAATGCAATCGTTCGATTAATTGATTAAATACTTATATATATCGAACGAAAAGATGAATCGGAATGCAATCGTTCGATTAATTAATTAAATATTTATATATATCGAATAAAAAAGCAAGTCGGAATGCAATCAGTCGAATAGTAAATTAAATATTTATATATACCAAACGAAAAGATGAATCGGAATACATTCGTTCGATTAATTCGTTAAATATTTATATATATAAATATTTAACGAATTAATCGAACAAATGCGTACGTGTGAGTTCGACGTCTGCGCACTATGAAAAATTCTATATATGTATTAATAATTAAATTTTTAAATAATTAAAAAAATAATCAATAAATATCAAAGATCAGTTTACTGCTAATTAAGATTTATAGAAATAACAGTTAAAAATGTTTTTATTTCACAGCAGGCATTTTGTGTTTTGTAAATAAAAATATATAAATATAGCAATGAATATAGAAAAATATTTCTTTCATCTTTGAACATTACATTGGAAGATTACAGTATCTTTCGCGATTGAATAATTTATTTACTATCAATTTATATACATGAATGTCTTGTTATATTCTGGTGCTATCGGCATTTCGTGCACGGAACGAAACCAGAAATTGTGCACATTATACCCTCTGAGTACATTCATGGACTTTGGCTTTGTAGTTTATGTCCACATTTTCAATGTCTATAGAGGGAGTATCGATTTCAGGGATCACCTAAAAGCAGGCCATGACATCTCTCAGTCTTCTCTCTGTTTGAAGCGTTTGATTAACCAATCGGAATAAAAGCAGTAAAGAATTTTACTGAATAGTACAGAATGGATGGGATTCGATTGACCACGTCGCCAATTCAAAATAGGACTCTCTGATTGATTAATCGTTACCTAGGTACAGGTCGATATAATTGGCTGTGGTCAATCGCAACGTGGTTAAACAAGACGCTCCCGTACAGAATAAGCAAAACATTCTTGGTTCTTGTGCTGAACGAAAGAGATTAGAGTTTCATAGCACGATTTATTTACGCAGAGATGGCAGAGAATTTTGGAAGAGAACCGCCATCGGCTTACAACGAAGAGAACAAGACTGCAGGTCAACCGTTGTCGGACTTTCTGTTGCAATTAGAAGATTATACACCTACGGTATTAATCTGCTCTTTTATTGAATACAAATTTCTGTAGATTTCTGATCCATCCATTGTGCAAAGCATGTTACTAAAATTATGTTTATATATTTGCATTTGTGTGTACATTTATGCATATGTAAAGTACATTATACATTTTGTATGTTCATATTAGGTACCTGATGCCATCAGCGAGCATTACTTGCATACAGCTGGTTTCAATACTACAGATCCCAGGATGTAAGACTAAATATATATTGTTTATATATATTATTTACAAGTATTATTCAATAAGAATCTTTTCAATTGGAAATTTATTCAGTCGATTAATTCTATTGATATTTTCTGTTGATATCTATTTTAGAGTACGTTTGGTATCTCTAGCAGCACAAAAGTTTATTTCGGAGATTGCCAATGATGCGCTGCAGCATTGCAAAACACGTGGTGCCAATCAAAACACAAAGACAAAAGGAAAAGATCGACGGTATACACTGACAATGGAAGATCTGACACCAGCAGTTGCAGAATATGGCATAATAGTAAAGAAACCACATTACTTTGTGTAAAAATTTATTTTATTAATACAATTGAATATATTTATTATAAAGGTGCATTAAGGTGCAATTTCATTGATGCTAAAAAGTAGCGTCAATCATTGGTTGAACAAAGAAGTAAGTAGTTGCTTCTTTGTTCAGTGTCAATGAAATTGCACCTTTATATTGATGACAATATAAAGTAACTGCATTTGGATGCAGAACCTGTCATCAATTAATTTAATTGCACATGTAATAAAACTATATGAATATCTCCTGAAGAAGATTAATTATAATATATTTTATTTGTAACAGTATATACATTTTATCAATATATATAAGTATGGGTATGTTTATTATGTTATTATATCTAACTATTCTTGCTAATGTTTTTGTAGAAATTTAGAGATGTATTTAATATAATAAATTTAATGCGTGTAATAAAAAAAGTCATCAGGATTTATTAAAGATAAAAATTTGTCTATTATATAATTATGAAAAAATGATGTGGGATAATGTTTGTGTAATTTAATGAAAGAATTTGTGTAATTAATTTGAATAGCCACAGACATATACTATATCCTAGGTTACGTTCCAAAACGCAAGTAACCGAGGAAAATTTTACTCGATGGCTGATACGAACCAATCGGAAACGCTTAAAAGAGTTTCGGAACGGCGAGCGAGTAAAATTTTCCTCGGAGAGTAAGTTTTAGAATGTACCCCAAGAAATAAATTTTGGAAGGCAACTTTGCGCATGCGCGAGTGTGTCTCACAGTCCACAGTAGATAGTTAATCTATATAATTTTTAAGTTTATGTACAACTTTGTTGAGTGCAGTCAAGTGCAGTGAGTGTAACATATACGTGCACTTCTCTGATAGGTATATTGAACAGTAGACATTTCATACGTTATTGTTGAAATTGTATTTTCGAGTGTTTTGTGTTTTCCGGAGAAAAACAAAAGTGCGAAAATGAGTAATTCAACTATTTCGGATCAATCGCTAATGGACAAGTCAATGAGGAGTGTTTTCGGTGAGTAATTTAACGTATGATTTACACTGTTTTATGAGGTTAGCGTTGTAATAATGTAATGATGTATGTACACAATTATTTGTTTTGTAGTCGGGAATATCCCGTACGAGGCTACAGAAGAGAATCTAAAGGATATTTTCAGTGAAGTTGGACCAGTGCTTTCTTTCAAGTATCTCATTTTTCTGTTACTTGTCTTAGTTAATTTAACAAGCTTAAAATCGTTAAGCTTGTTAAAATGTTTGAATTTCATACATATTTCCAATACTTGAAAACACTTTAGAATAGTAAAGTACTTTAGCAATATTCTTTAAATATTAAATATTTAATTATTTAATTATATAAAAACTTACATATAAACAGGAATGTCAAAGAATTATATTCAGCATACTCATTTTATTTCTTGGAAATAAAATGAGTATGCTGAATATAATTCTTTGACATTTGTCTTGTATACATTTTCTTTCTACTATTAAAAGTGCATTTGATTTTTGAGCATACATTTAATTTGCATCATGTAATTATTCTAACTTTTATAATTACAAAGGAAATGTTGAGTATTTATCTATATGTACAATTTTTCAATTGTGTTAAATAGATTAGTTTTTGACCGCGAGACAGGCAAACCTAAAGGATATGGCTTCTGTGAATACAAAGATCAGGAAACAGCCTTAAGTGCTATGAGAAATTTAAATGGATATGAGATTGGTGGAAGAACATTGCGTGTGGATAATGCTTGTACAGAGAAAAGTCGTATGGAGATGCAGAGTCTTCTGCAAGGACAGAATACTGAAAATCCATATGGGGAAGCTGTTCAATCAGACAAGGCACCAGAAGCTATAAGTAAAGCTGTAGCGTCTCTACCACCGGAGCAAATGTTTGAATTGATGAAGCAAATGAAACTTTGTGTACAAAATAACCCGAATGAGGCACGTCAAATGCTTCTACAAAATCCTCAATTGGCATATGCTCTGCTTCAAGCACAGGTGGTCATGAGGATAGTGGATCCGCATACAGCAGTCAGTATGTTGCACAAGGCTAATCCTATCCCAGGTGTATTAACACCATCAGAAAAACCAATCCAACAAGTCCAGCCACGAATTGAGGAACCGTGGGCTCCGCCACGACCTCCACCAGCTGTTAATGCTCCAGCGCCCATTTTCGCAGGTAAAACAAAAATCTTAGTGTTTCTTTAATATTATGTAATTGTTATTAACGAATTATATTATACAATCATTTATTATTAAGCCCCATCTTGTAGCCATATTAAATTATGACATTAGAAGCAAGAAATCATAAAAGTTTTCTTGTGTAGATAAATACATCAAAATAAGTAAGTTTTTTTTCAATACAACTATTTGTATTTAATATGAATTAGTAAAAAATCTTTAATTTATGAATTAAAACTACAATAAATGTAAATCATGGTCAATCGTTATAAGATTTATTTTTGCTAAAAATAAATCTGTATATGTACAATATGTTCAAAAAACTTATTTATTTTGATGTATTTCATAAGAATAAAGCTAATGATTTTTTATCTCTGTCATAATTCAGTATGACAGATTCATGGCAATAAAGAACCAGAAATTTTAATTACATTATAATATCTTGTAAATTTATTGATTATTCAGACTTGGAAGTAAATCATTAATAAATTAATGCAACTTGTTTTGCAATTGTTTGCTATATTATATCATGTTGCATGTAAATTATGAAATCTCCATTATCTCTCCCTATATTGGAAAAATTGCTACTTAAAATTCAATTAAAATACATAGGTCAAGACGTGGATCTTCGATTGGATAGACCAATAGATCCACGTTTAGCTAGAATGGATCAAGATTTAAGAGGACCACCTCAAACGCAGCCCGCTCCAGTTAGTGCACCACCAGTGATACCGGCTGCTGCTGATCCGAGAGGGCCCAATACATTTAATATTACAGACAAGTAAGTTTATTTCAGTTGTCGAAAAATCGATTGTAGATTGTGTAATTGAAAGAGCTGCTCTTTTTTACAGCACTCTTCCTGTGGAGGGAGTCGAGAGGTTTCATATATATATATCTTAAATAGGTTTGATCATTACGTCGTACTCTCTCTTGCATTAAATTCATATTATTTTCAGCTTTTGCCGTGATCCAAGGGCTGATAGATTCGGCAGAGATCCGAGAGATCCGAGAGATCCAAGAATGCCTATTGATCCTAGGATTACCAAAGCTAATCGTAAGTATCTCGGATTTTTTCTTCTATTAAATGCATTTAATACAAATCACACTTAATTTCATTAAATGAATTTTTTACAAGAATTATATATTTAAATGCCTTTTTAAAAAGAATCTCTTCTTTTAAATCTTATGAAACTTTCACTTTTCAGCGACTCCTGTAGCTCCACCGGTTGTTCCGAGACCAGTTGCTGCACCAACCGTGCCAATACCAAGTCCTGTAACAGGCAACACGACTGGTTCTACCGCTGTGCTTTCACAGTCGGCAAGTTCTGCGACATCGAGACTTATGGCTGGAATGTCTCCAGCAGGAAATATTCCCAGTGGCGCATCTGACCAGGAAAAGGTATGTTATGGGATTTTTTTACTTACAAAATGATTGCGATATCTTGTAAATTTTATAATTTTATTTGAAAACTTATACTTTCAAAGAATAGAAAAGCACACAGAATAATATCTTTGTATAACAATTAACTTAAAAATTAAAATATAAAAATGAAAACAATCGCGCGAATATGTGAACAATAATGAATTTGATGCAGCATTATGCTAATATACAGTTATATTAAATTCGCTATTAAATTCACAATTCGATTATATTAATCAAAAAATATTCCAAATATCTAAATAAAAACAAATAAATTAAAAATTGTTTTTTTTTATAGGCAGCCTTAATAATGCAAGTGTTACAATTATCAGATGAGCAAATTTCTATGCTTCCACCTGAACAGAGACAAAGTATTCTGGTGCTAAAGGAACAAATTGCAAAGAGTACTCAGCGTTAACATGGTCTTATGTAAGTCTCTAACTAATTTCAAAATAATATAATCTTAATATAATCTTAAAGTGTGTGATGTACAATCAATATATTCTTATAAAATCTTATAAAATCTTATATGCAATACTTGCTTCTTTTATTGTCTATGAGATAGTAGTCAAACTTATATCTATTTATATTTATGTATCAAAAAGATGAAACTACTGCAAATTCCTGAGTAATTTTCTTGTCAAATCATGTACAATTTGTTGCACAATGTACATGGTTGAAATAAAACTTAAATAATATCAATCATAAATGTACAGTCATAGATTGTTAATACTGCTGCTTCTTAGTCTTCTTCAGGATTCTTAAATTGATATAAACCTTCTTTTATCAAATCAGCATAAAAGAGTTCTTTACATGATTTATCTTTGTATATTTCTGCCACTATGTTATTCCCATTACTAATTTCCTACAATGATTAATTTTTAATAAGTATTTTCATGCAAATTTTAAATATATTAATTTTAAAAAGACTTGCCTTAATTCGAGCCACAACTGTTTGATTATATATTTCGTCCAATTTTGATGCTAATAAAGTAGTGTCATCAGAAACAAAATTTAGTCCCCAAAATTTACATTTAATAGCCATAGCGGGCAATTCTAACCATTTTTCTTTTGGTACATGTAAACCATGGTTTCTGAAATATTTTTATGAATTATTACAAATAACTCTTGTATTGCACAAATCAAATAATACATGAATAAGTAATAAGTATTCATATCTTACGGTAAATCCAATGTTTTCCATTCATGGTTACCATAATCAACATAATATAATGAAACCTCTATGGATTGAGAATCCGAAAGTTGACTATTTGTGATGATGCATCTATACCATATTTCATCAGAAAATTTTGTTATGCATGGAGTATCTAAGAAAGATTATAGTGTATTTTATTGATAAATTCGCTATATATTAATTACACATAAAATTATAAAATTATTCATATAAAATTATTTATTTTAAGACAGACTATAACAATTAATTAAGAAAGATTATACTTACTTTTTTCAAAAGATTCAATTAATGGTTGATGATTAGCACTGATTTGCAAGTCTGACATTATAACCTCATATTGCAGATAATAATCATGAAACACCTAAAGAAGATGAATATATATTAATTAATCAGGCTAATGCTTTATATATAGATGTATTTCATATAAATTCGCGTATGCCTACATTGGAAAACATGGCGTCGTTGTTTTCAGCCAATTGCGCGTATGAAGTAATAGGATCTCTATTGCAACATAATATTAATTCAATATACTTCGTCTCTTGTGGAATTGTCAATTGTTCATATATATCCAAAAAATCTTTTTCTTCTTCTTGTGGTTGCGGTGTTGAACAGGCGTTTAATTGCTTGTCTAAGATAATTGCGTCCATCCAGGATATATTTTCAAAATCGGTCTGTTTAATAGATATATTAAACGATTCAAGCTTCAAAGATTCTATTTCTGCACAATTACCGCTGATCACATTTTCGTTAAATGTAGAATTTTGCGTATATAATTCTGATAAAGATTCTTTTGAAGCATTAGCTGTGTATAGTTCGTCATTCGTTTTCTCAATAGTAACGTCTTTGCTGGTAGAATCCGATCTTATGGCTTCGCTTTCAAAAGTTTCAGAATCATTCCATTCTTTACGTTCGATTTTAATTTTCATATCCATGTGATTTGCAAGATACATTAGTAGATCACATTTCCATGGCCGCAATAATGTTATTGATACCTGTAAATAATAAAAATAAAATGTTATTGCACTTAAAATTATAATAAGAAAAATATCGATAAATTCTCTCTCTCTGTCTTTCTGACTATATAAAGATAAAAGCTTTATATTTGTAAAAATCGCTTTTCATAAATAGACATAACTTACAATTAAATTTGCAGGTTGTCGCTGTAAAATAGATACTTTGCATTCTTGGTCGACAATAAGCGCATGTATTCGATCTAAATCGTGTATCATCCATTTACCATTTAACAATGCCTATATTTATACAAAAAAATTTAGAAAGATTATTATAATACATGAGCTAAGAAAATTATATAATATTTGTATTATTAAAATTATTCTCAATTTTGAAATATAAAATTATATTACTGGTTTTAATCCACTAATGATACATTTTGTAGATTGGATAGGAATATGTCCTAATCTAATATCATCCGTCACATGCTGTATTTCACATTCTTCTACATTGCCATAATCGACGAATTCCACCTAGAAACAAAATACAATATTATCAAAAAATAATTATTAGCATAATGGATTATTATTATTCTTACCATCAATGTATTTCCTAAATTTTTTGAAATGCGACCTCTATACCATTTTTTATTTTGATGATATCGGGCAATACATATATCTCCTGCCTTCCATACTTTAGTCTTTTTTATTTTAACCTTTTGATAATGAATTTGTAGTTCAGACTCTATATAGGAAAGTATATCAGCATCTAATAATAACAAAACATAAAAAAAGATATGCATGAATAAATAATATTGTATTGTAATATTTATAATAGATATTTATATTGATTATTAATTATGTAAGCAAAATAACGTACTGTGCTTTTTAGAATGCAGATACACGTTGCATTTATTGTCCACGTATGTTGGTATAGCGTGGAATACTTCTTCGATTATTTCAATTGGTGGTAACCAGTCAGAAAATTTCACTGCATATTCGCGATTCGTCGAGTCGCAAATCTGATATTTGGTGTTTAAATTGGTTAATGCATTAATACTAGAATTATGACACGACAAATCACTCTCACGTGAGAGTGTTCCGTCTAGCTCAGTGTTAAGCTCTTTATTAAACCACTTTACTTCTTCTTCTTGCTTAGTCAACACGAATTGATGATCATCTTCTAACTGTCGTTTAAATTCTGCTGCGAGAATCGAATTCGACTTTGCAAAGTAACTGTTGAAAATTAAAGATATTATGATACAAATATATGAGAGAGAGAATTAAGTTGCTTTATATATAAATTCATTTAAATTAATTTATCTAAGTACTTTTTAATAGGTAAAGCAACGCCCTTTTCCACCAACATTCTGTTGATAGAATTAATCTCTATTTTAGTTGGCGCCAATGGTCCTGGTATTTTGGCTTGTCTTACCCAGAGTTCAACAGGTATCACATCGTAAGCTTCTTCCTGAACCTTAAACAAGATATAAATATTATATCTTCGACTTTGTTTGTAAAACGACTTTTATTACATACTAGTTGAAAAGTCAGAATCGGTTTGATCGGATGATTATTGCAAATTTATTATAATATAAACTTAACATCGGCAAGAATGTACAATTCTTGCTGAACACATATTACAAGCTCATTATCGAATTCAAGTTCATTATTTACACTAACATTAAATAGTTTTCCAACGGATCGTAATCATAATTCATTTGAAATATAGGATAGTGTACATAAACGCTCTCTTAAAAAAAATATTTTTTTAAACTCACCGGCTTAGTGATATAATATTTGCAAAATGTGTTTTCTTGTATAATATCAAACAATGTGTCACAAGACAACGATGGCCACGTAGATGATCCACCGCACGGTAAAATACCAGCTAGCTTAACCTTGAAGCAATACGTTGGCTGTTTCGCGAATTTCATGTGTAAAATCTGTATATCCTCCATCGTCACCGTCTCCTCGATGCCCATATCGTAAAAATAGACCAATACCTCTGTCGGGGATTTTATTTTTAGGATTTTTGCACGAAAGTAAGACTTATCCTTCGCGGAATATACGGCACACAGAGCGCCTTCGCTCCAATTATCTCGCGATTCGGAGTGATAGATATCGTAGAATTTTTGCATCGCCGATACCATTTTTGTGTTCGACTTCTCGTGCTCCGTCTGCGCGACGTAAATGCAATCTGGTGTGATCACTCGTTGTATAGACACTTCCACCTTAAAAGGATCTTTAATAGTTTCATTCTTCTCCACAGGTTTCTTCTCATCGTTTTCTGTTTCATCATATGAATCATCGCTCAAATCCTTCGTGGAATTATCGAATTTTTCCAGTGGTAAAAGAGCGGACTTATTAGGCAATTCTTGGTGATTCCTAGGCGATTTATTTTTAAATTTGCTGTAAAAAAAGCAATGATCTTGATCAATCGAGTGTCTTAAATATAAAATTTTTTTATGCTGGTAGTTATATACATGACAGGTGAGCATACTGACCTGACTTGAAACGAATTGACGACGCCTTCAATTTTTAATTGTCGACTAACATCAACATCATCAATGCAAATACAACCGATATATCCATCTTCCACTTTTTTTCGATAAGTTATTGTTACATATTTTATGTTCTTGAAGATATTTAGTAGCGTTATATAACACTCTGATTTCCACAATCCATCAGGTTCTGGTTTTATATACATTAATGATATTCTTATAGCCTAAATCAAATGAAAAAAATGATGAAAATTATTGTGTCATTTTATAAATAATACAAAATAATACAAAACATAATAAATAATATAAAAATAAGGAAATGGACAGCAATTTACTTGCGCATTAAGTACGGTGTACTCATGCGGAATCGCTCGTAATTGATTACAGTTTAAAACTAGAGTGCATCCACAATCCACGTAAAATACTCTGACTTGATTTTCACTAAGAATTTCAATGATTTCACCACGTTGCCAAGTAAAATCTTTCAACTGCACAGCACAAGGTAAACCTTCTTGAGGTGAATCGATCATTTTCGTCAAATTGTCTTTTCTATAATATTCTTGTAACTCGTTCATTAATTTGGAAAATTTAACTTGTCGTCCAATTTTGGTGACATAAATCTTATCTGGCGATTCAATCCAGCTAACAGAAACTTGTATTGGCGTCTTATTTGGAAGTTCTTCTTTTTTATATACATAAGTATTTGTCAATATTTGCGTAGTATTTTGCCAATTCTCCAAACGCGCGTAATCCATACTTTTCATAGTATTACACATCGATTGCGGACCCATATTATTATCCTTCGAGATAACACAAAGATCTACATATAGCATGTTAGGAGTAGATTTAATGATAAACATCGAGCAATCGGCTCTATTCGTCAACTTCATAAAATCGTTTGTGCTCGCGTTCGTCCAATGAAGCTTCTTGGGCTTTAAACCGTGCAAACAGCATCGAATCGCCTGTGGTGGCAATTCTAACAAATGTTCAGCGATGTTTCGTATTCTCGAAGTTGATATATTACATTCTTCAAAGCCATAATCTAAGTAAAATACATTGTACGACGTCTCACCGTCATCGGTCGTGTTCACTGCGTTCACGCAAGCTCGGAACCATTTTTCGAATTTCCTTTGTTTAACAATACACGTGTTACCTGAACAACAAACTATCGATGAAAAAAAAATGATCGAGTAAAATGGTGAGCGATTAATCCTCGCGCTCTTACCTAGTTCAAGCTTAACTGGCGGTTCTGCACTTTGTCTGTTATATCCGTATTTCGTCAAATCCTTTTCCAATTGTCTGAATTCCGATTTCGAGGCAACTTTCCGAACGAAAAACAATGATGGATTAACAACGTATGTCACCTCTACCTTACACTCTGAAGTGCCTTGAAAAGAAAAAAAAGAATTTGATTTTTAATCCGAAGACTAACATTGGAAGGATTAACTTACTCTCTTGGTTCGAATCTTCCTTCTTTTGATATAGTGCTTCTATATCTTCTGATTTGATAGATTCCGTTGTTGATGCACTGACTGGCTTCTTTGATAAAGGCATTAATGGCAGTTCTTCGTAAAGTCCTGTCAATAATATTTCATAATTATTTCACAAAAACCATAGAATTATATCTCACGAGTCAAAATTTTATTAAAATAATAAAAATATATTTACTAAAAAAATTGTGTATAGATGAAATGAATATTAGTTATACACATAAACTAATTTTTATGTAAGACATTTGGATGCTAGTAAAGATTAAGAAAGCGAATTTAAAAAATCTATTTGAAATCGCGACAATAAGATTGAAGCTCTCACTTGTCTGCTCCGACTTGTTAACGGGTGACACTATGTAATTCTTTGGTAATTCATCCGTTCGCACGAGACTGTAAAACGATACTGGCGGCACTTGAATCGAGCAATGATCTTTTATAGCTGCGACGATCGAGTCATCGAATTTAAACCTGTTGAGAGAAAAATACATTGTTACACCAGCGAAAGAATTATCATTCAATAATTGCTAACGTTCCATATGTTCACATGTATGATAAAAATAACATGTTTGCAGAAAAAAATGATGTTTTAAATATTAAATATAAATTTCGATTAGAAAGATATAGATGGAAAAATGTTTCAGTTGTTAATAACGAGTGACAAGCATGTCATGTCAAAAAATAGCGCGTCAGCAAGAAAGATTTTGCACCTATCGACATAATTTCACGCTTTTTAATGATTTGAAATTCGTTGTCGATACTCACGTTGCTTTACAGTTTTGACCTGCGTCTTTATACATCAAATGACAAGGCAAATCCGCCAGTTCCTTCAAAATATTTATCGCATTTCGTATGTCGACTTTATGAAAGCTCTGTCTCGCATAAGAAGCCATCTAAACAAATAATCGTGTTTGAAATAAGCTACAGAGATGTTTGATAATAAATTAGACAAAGTAAAATGTAAATAATATGAAACTGAATTTAATGTAATTTGATGTCACTGAACCCACTCTGTTTCTTCTCTTTTTTATATTAATCAAATTATTCTTTTATTATAATCATCTACTACATTTTATCTAATTATCAATAATAGAAGTAGATTTAAAGTCTATAAAAGAATCCATAAAGCAAATAAAGTATTAAAATAATGTGTAAATTTCATTTGAAGCAAATAATAGACAACTGTACTTTTCTACAAGTATTTTTAAATTTTGAAAAAACGTACCTGCAACGTCACCTTCAATCTTTCCTCTTGTGATCGAAGCTGTATATCGATATCTTCTAAATTATTCTTGAGAGAATCACGCTGCTGATATAATTGGCTTATCAATTTCGTCTCCATGTTTTGAAGAATGCCATGTAGATACGCGAAATGTCGAGTGATTGCCGTCTCTATGATTTCACCGTTGACTAGATCGTACATGTTGGATGCTAAGGCAGAGTGTACCTTCTGAAATATAAAAGAATAATTCGATGAATTAATATTATAATCCCATTACGTTGCGATCTATTTGAAATAAATAAATGAAAATGCATATATACAATATTTTATGGTCATTCGTCATGTTAAGGCCTATTTGGTAAATTTTATAGCAAACGAAAAAATGTATAGTCTCTGAGGAAGTAAAGAGATAAATTGAAAAGAAAATGGAACGAAAGAAATGAAATGAAAGATTTTTCTCATTAAGTTTACATATCAATACAAGTTTTCGGGAAGAGAAAAAAAGATCAGATGCGTGAAATATTCACTGATAATATATGCATTTCACTCACGTAAATAGTTAAATATATATAAATATATAGGCAAATATTATTCCGAGAGTGCGTCTCTTGGGATGGAGCTCGCATTCGCGAGTTTTCTCGGCGGTTTTCTATTTTTCTCGCAAGTTTCATTCAAATTTGCGAAAGTCGTGTTGCCTCAGTAAACTCTTGGATCGCTCTACTGCTTTGCTCTCGGAATGAATTGACGGAATCAACAAATGTACAACATTACGCACTATCGTGTCGATTTGTAGAAAAATTTATTTTTTCGTCACAATTATTCGATTATTTTTTTAACAATGAATCAACTAATTCTTCGCGTAGCTGCATCTTTGTACATCTCTCAATATGAAATCGCCCGAAGCATCTCACTTGATCAAGTTCTTTCATCAATTCGATTTTTTCTTTCTACAAAGTATAACCAGATTTGAGCTGCATCAATCGATTTAATCAACGACATTGATGTTATATAAATGCAACATTAATTAACAAACGCGATAAAAATGCATAATCAATTATAATCTTTTTTATGCAATCTGCAGCAATAATGCATGTGCTTCTAGAAGTGTCATCGTGCACTTTCGAATTGAATCGAAAGGAGAATATGTGAAAATATGCCGCTGATTGACGAAAGTGTAGCTCAATCCGATGGCAATTGAAATGAATGACTGCAAACAAAGAGGGACTCTGCTCGTTCGAAATGCAGAGAGAAAGCGCGAACCTTTGTTCTAGATGCGCGACACAATCAATTCATTCGTAGCGAGTCGCACCATCAGGAACGAATACATATGAAAATCATTAAAAAGTCCAAGTCAAGGCATGACCGCGCATAATATAATTTTGTTCGGAAATATTTGACAAGTTTCTTTAAATCATGTATATTGTAGAGAATAGATTTTTTTTAAACTTGAATATAGATATGTTTGCGAATATAATTATAATAAATATTAATTATTAATATTATCTATTAATTATAATTAATAGATGTACCTGTGTAAGGATGCAGTTGCGCAAAGAATTCATTGATTCATTGTTAAAAAATATAATTCGTCGCAAATTCCAAAACAATCATTCGTTTTGCACAACATCACGCCTATGATTATGAATCATTTTGTCAGAGATTAATTGTTAATTAATTAAGGAGGAAAGTTGTATATTTTTTGATATGAGAAAAACAGTGAATTTTCAATTTTCTTTCTTATATCATAATACATTTTTAGAATAAAAAAGAGATTAGATTTAAAAAAAAAACATTTTTACAACTTGATAAAACACAATCCGCAAAAATAGATACGCGTGAACGCTCCTCATTTCTGATTCATATGATTTATCTCGCGCGACACGCCAGCCGAGAGGCATTTATTAAACGAGGACGATTTTATTTAACAAGCCAAAAGAGGCTTAGCGTTCAACTTGCATGAAGAGGACACCGTTTTTATTGCGGCCGACAGAAGGTCGACTTGATTCGCTCCGAGGATTCCTCCGCGAAGGAAAAGAGACTGGGCTCCTCTCTCGTCGGAGTGGAGATTGTGGAACGGCAGGGAACCGTGATGTATGCGAGACTAATGCTATCTGGCTTCACGAGCTACCTTTCCTCAGTCTTTCACGTCCCGAGCGACCGGTCGCACAGTCGAGACGACAAACGCACGTTCCGTTCGCCAACGCGAGTATACTCGCGTATCTTTTCCTTCAATTCACCGCAAAGAGAGTCGACTCGACGCGAAGGATACACACAATTCGACGATGCGTCCGCGATCGTAGCTCTTGCTAGTGTCAACACGGAGGCGCGGGTCGTAAGGGTGGTATCGAAGTGGACCCTGTCGAGGAAAAAAGGTAGAAAAAGCGGAAGAGCAGAGGAGGAGAGGCAATAATAATATGAAGGTCCTGTGCGTGACGATTATCATCGCAAATGCAGCGTTTCTCTTGATTATCGTTGGTGAGTTTTCCCTCTTATGAAATTGGAAATTTTTGGCGTGAAAAATTGGTAGAGTTATCAATGAACGAAGAACAAAAACCTTATTAATTTTTTTAGCTTTTTTTCAATTACTTTTCTTTCGTTCACCTACTTCTTTTTAATGGCGTTTAGCTATTTTGGAGTATATTTTTTTTGAGCGAAAATTATTACAGTCTCGAGTGAATACACGAAGACATTTACAAAGATCAACCGCAGGGATTTTTTTCTCTTTGTAATTAAACTGTTGACCGATTCAGATAGATTCGCGGATGCGTTTTTGTCAAATGAACTTAATTTGCCCTCGCGTTCTCGAGCAAACCGTACTGATATCCGTTCGTTTAACCATCTCCTTCCAGACTACCCTTTAACTATTTACACAGCATAATTAACGTTGCGCCATGAAGACGTTAAAAGAAGTTCTCTCTCTATAGCTGATTTATCAGGTTAAACAAAATCGCGCCGATTCTCCGCAAAGGTGGAGTTTGAATTGTCAATTTTGCGACAATGTGTCAAGAATGTCTTTCCATTTATCTTTACAATATTTTTCTCAATTTATAACACTCATCTTATAATTAACCACGAAAAATAAAATACATACACACACGACTCAGAAAACTTTTTAATAATTGTATCTCAGAAAATATTATTTTTATAATATCTAATATAAAATATCTAATATAAATCACAGTCTCTTTAAATTTATATATAATTTGAGACAAAATTATATTTTATTATAAAATATATTTATTTCTACCTATATATCTATTTTATAATAAAAATATTTCCGAAGAATCAAAATATATTTATAGAATATATATAATTGATATCAGATAATGCGTAAAGAATAATTCGTATAGAATTCACATCATATCATATATAAAATATACAATGTATCTAAAAAAATATTAAATCATATAAAATGAAATTTGTATTCTATAAAATCGTGATATAAATTATATAATCTAAGTACAATAAGTTTTTGTAATTCAATCATTTTAAATACGAAACGACGAAAGTATCGACAAAAATAGGAAAAATTATTATCTTTTATATAAATTCAAAACTAAAAAGAATTTTTTTAGTTATTGAGATATGCAATTTTTAGAAATTCGCATATTTGCTATTAATATATTACTTTTACTTTGTTTACATACTTGCTAAATATAATACAAATGTGTATTATTAAAATAGGTCAAAATAGAGAGCAATCACCGCGTATTACATCTTAAAAGGTATTTGAATGATAATAATGAGAGATTCAATCAATGTGTCATAAAGCATCATCAATCACAATCTCTTCGTCATTTTTGCTTCTGTCATTTGCGACAGAAATGTCCACGAACCTCGCGATTCCCTTTGCTCAAATCTATCTATTTATCTATGTACTTCCTCATCTTGATATCCCGGTAATGGACAATAAAATGTTTCGTGTACTAAAAAGCAATAATCGTACTCATACGTGTGTATCACAAAAAATTGGCGAAAAAGGTAATGCGTGGTTTTACGCTTTCCTCCTTTATCTCTCTTTTTCTTTCTCTTTCTCTTTATTTTTATCATCCCTTGGGCACGATATCGATCGAACGACCGACAGCAAAAGGATAACGAAAGGAAAAGGGGGAAAAGTCACGCGACTAAGACCAGAAATACATCGATAGAGGAAAAGAGGAAGAAGAATGCAACTAACACGGCGGGCTTTTTCTGAAAACAAATCCCCCATCCATCGGACATCGCCTCAATTACCGCTCTAACATCTCTCTTTCCAAAGACGAATCCGAAGAATTCTCTTTTTCCGTTTCGCAAATGTACCGCATTCGTTGCGTACAACAAAACATGATAACTATAATGAAATCCTGATAAAAATTAATCGAATGAAATGGAAAAATTAGTGACATGTATACAATTGTCATCAGGCCTTTATATATTGTCGGAATATTTGATTGGATGAAATATTACTCGTGAGAGATTCCTCCAAGTCTAATAAAAATTGAATCACTAAAAAAAATTAATTTGATCGAAAATAGAATAATTTATTTTGTTGTTGCCATTGTAAAGTACGACATTCAGACACGCATCTCAGTGTGTGAGACAGAATCTCGTATGTAACCTCTTGTGTAGGGGAAAAAAGTGAATTCGTCCCATAATCGATTCGAAAGGCGTTCCACCTCAAGCTGTATTTATTCCGATCTAGATAGAGAAATTCTATCCTCGTTCAAGGATCTCTCAACCTCGTTCCCTTTAAGGATGATTAAGTAGATTCACCTTCGTGCGTTCGTGAACGACATGAGAAGAGGTGATAATTAATCAAGCCACGCATGGAAGATTCTCTTCGCGAAAGATTTTCAATTGTATTTATCGACTCTCTTTTAGCTACTATCTACTTTTATAAATCTCTCGGGATGATTGCGGCCGCATTCTCTGTCTTCATCGCGTAACTGCACGCACAATTCGCGTTCTCGCTTCGCATGTTAAAATGTGAGTCGCTATAAACTACAACGGGTCGCTATAAACTTCTGAGTCTTTCCGATCGAATAAAAATTCGCACGCTAAATCACTATACGCCATGTATATCGTAAAGTGTGTATGCGTTAAAAGCGTACGCAATACTAAACTTTTTACGAGTATACAGAACAGAAAGAGAGAAGGAGAAGGAGAAAGAGAGAGGGAGAGGGAGAGAGAGAGAAAGAGATTTGTTCGTTTACGAATATATTCGCCGACTTTAGGATCAAGAAATATTCCATTTATCTGATTCGCATCGTTTTGTTTGTCTTACTGATAACGAATCGCGCGAACGCAAACGGGATTAACTCTCGTGGAAATAATCGTCGGAGCGGAAGAAACCTCGGCTTCGAGAGGAAGCGGACTCCACCATTATCCGTTTCGCATAATTTTCTTTATATCCTTTGCGATAATGACTCTAAGATTGTGTGAAATAGTATAGAGTTGGTCCAGCGCTCTCTCTCTCTCTCTCTCTCTCTCTCTCTAGTTAAGATTTTGCGAATTTTAGATAAAATTCTAAATTATGATGGAGCGACGATATATAATTTTTCTTATTCATCAATATTATACATTTAAGTACCTCTCAAGACGTTGTGATTTAATTTCATAGATTGAAATTCCGGAGTGTTTATTCATATTGTAATGTCACGCGATAAAATCTACGTATGTCTTTATATCTCTGTTTATTATACATCTGTCAGTATAATAATTGCGTTGCTTCACACGATGCATCGTGCGAGCTTCGCATAGTGCAAATGTTATGCCTTCCGCTGCGCAAAATGTTCGCCGACGATAATGAATAGGTAGTGTATCGCGCAAGAATAATGTATTACTCTGCGAATACGGCCTGCATACCGCATATATGAATTGTTTATCCGTGAAACGATCATCGTACTTGTCGAATATCGCGAATAATCGCGCACATTTCTCCGATATTCTTGAGATGCAAAAAAAATCAACGCAGATTCGATTTCGTAGAAAATCAAATCGCTCGCAATTTTATAATTCGCAACGTTAAATCTCTCAGCGGAGATGTGCCTGAAATAAAAAAAATGATAATTATTACGGGACAATAAAAATGTTAATAAAATAATATAGATTGTTGCATCGATTGGTTGCACGATATTTCACGATCATTGATTCCATTTCGACATCGTTATTGTCAACGACGAGACTAACGTGTAGACGCACACAATCTAATTCCCGGCTGCTGTATTCGACACATGTAAATGCAACATACGGGCGCATAAAGGCAGACACGTGTATTAATGACGACGACGACGACAGGCTTGCGCCACGTTCTTGGTCGCGAGATCGAGCATGACAATAAAGCCGCGGGAAAATTTCAAGTCGTGAGTCGAGTTATGAATTAAGTTTCTCGGTTTCCCGCCGTCCCCGCCCGCGTTTTACAGTGTGCAGTAGGAAGAAAAGGCGGTCGCTGCCTTCATACCGCGAACTCGCGAGTTTTCTATTCGAGTTCGCGTGCGGGAAACCTCATCGCATTAATATTTTTCACGGTGCCGCAAATCGAGATGAACGATCGGAAGCGAGATTCGGAGTATAAAGTCGCCATCATAAAAAAATTCCTCGTTAAATATTGTCCTTTTACACACGTGTTTCTTAACGAAAAAAAAAAAAAAATGTAAAACTCTTCCTTGTCTTCTGAAACCGCGACTATGGAAACCCTCGACTGCAACGGAGTCCTCGTATATAAAATGCATAGGAAGCAAGAAACGAGCGGAAGGGAAGATTATCGCTCTTTGTGATTCTCTTCTCCGGCATATTACTTTTCCCCGCGCGTAAATTTCATTATAGTAATACGTAACGTGGTATTAACGGCAAAAAGAATGCGCTCCAATTACTTCTCCCAGGATCTCCCCGTCCGTTCGCGCGCACGCTATAGAGAGAAATTTATTTCCATTACAGTCCTATATACTGTATATATGCGCACATATATATTTCATCTTTTCATCTATCGCGACCGGGCCAGCTTTGAAATATCTATGTGTCTGTGCACGCGCGTACCAGTGTATATATATGTGTGTATGTGTGTGTGTGTTTGTGTGTGTTGTGTGTGTGTAACGATCGATGATACCGTTGCAAATATTATTTTATGGGCGTCGACCAGAGGTGCGCGCGCGCGCGCGCACAGTAGCGAACAAGAGGGCTCTTCTCCCGAGGTGTCGAGATCGATGCCGGGTTCATGATTGCTGTCGAAATCAGTTAGAGGAGTTATTCATTTCGGGCGTCACGGCATACGGCTAATAAACATATTCACGACGACTTTGCCCCGGCAACAATTGTGAATATGAATAAGCGATATTACCCCACCTTCCCTCTTTCTCCCCCTCCCCCCGCCTCCTTCCCTTCCACGCGATGCATATTATTCATGGTAATTATTAGCAATAATTAATCTGTAATCATAATAGGTAATATCGAGAGCTTTCATTATTACTACCGCGGTATATAACCAATTTAGAATTTAT